GGCCGGCGTTGCTTCGGGATAGCGCGACGGTAGTCAAAATATAGCAGAGAGAGAGCGACGTAGTCGCACTGCAGTGATGATTTATTTTGGCACTCTTTTCCATCTCTGTCAATTACATGTGGATTTTTCAATTTGCGGGGGGGGGTGATAGGGCTATGCAGTAAATTTCGAGTCAAATCTTTTGGAACTAACGGTTACTAAACATTAATTTAAAGGCAATTTGTATTTAACTTGTAGGTGCAATACATTTTAACTGAATCATAATTTGGGTAGTTTATTTTTAAAATATATATACATTTATGGGCAGTATGTGAATATCGTTACTGTGTTACAATATTACATACTCGATATCTTTTATAAATAACCCCTCTGCATGGAGTTTGGTGAACTCTTGGGCTTAGTATGCTACTGTATGTTATGTTGGTCATTATGGTGGCACTTGCAGGGCAACTTATTATGTTTTTGGGGGGGGGGGTATTTATCATGAATCAACTCAAGGAACCAAATATGGGACAAAAACACATCACAATAAAGCAACGTGCACTTTAATGTGTGTGGGTTTTTTTTTTTTTTTGCTTTTTCATGCAGGGTATTTTACAAAATATGCAATACGATAGAAGGGCATGCAAAGTATGCTTCAAATTAAATAAACTCTTAGTGAGACTGTCGTTGAACATGCATGTCATAGACTAATAAGTAACATATTAAGCAGCCTTATCTTCTGGCTGCATCAGTCAAGGCTATCTGGACATAATGGAGGCGTGTCACATCGTCTGCAAAGTGATTGCAGCATTAAATAATCACCTTTAGTGGCTTGGGTGGCCCTCAGTTGATACATCATGGATCGACAGAGGACTTGGGGCAGCGCTCTCTCTCAAATGCAGTGGCGACAGGTGTGCTTACATTTATTTGCTTGACGATGTCATTTTGTTTGTATCAAGAAGCGGCGTGTTTCATAGTTGGAAAAAGGAGAGAGGCAAAGAAACATTAAGCTCATCTGATCTGTAAAGCCGTGTGCTTGTAAATTCCTCCCAGCTTTTATTGTTATACCTTAAGATCATAAATGTACCGTACATTTCTTCTCCTTTGAATTATTTACCCCTGCAGGTCGATAAAAGTGTGTCCACAGCAGTGATTGGAGATATGATAGAATTTGCACACCCGTGGTTGGGGGTGTCTCTATGGGGAGTTTATATGGGAAAAGGTGATGTGATTCATTTTGGAGTGGGAGGTGAGAGGAAAACATGCTTTTTTTTTTTAAACTCATTATTGCTATTGTGGCGAGTTCATTCTGCGTAAAAATGATAGGAAGACAAGACCTTCCTTCTTTTTCTTCCCCCTCCCTCTAAAGACGAGAACATGACTCAGAAAGCGTGCCGCAGCCTCATGCAGCAGATGCTGCCCAGGTCGAAAGGTGACGGTGTCCTGAAGAAGACTCCCATCAGGTCTCAGACCATCGCTGACATCAGAATGCCTGCGGGAACCCGCATCCGGGTCAACAACGACAAGCACCACCTGGCTCCGTCCATGACGGAGCAGATGATGCATCGCTGTCAGACTTTCCTCCACCAGGAGTTCAAATACGACTTGATCAACTTCAACAGCGAGCATTTCGCCACCTTCGTTCGCTACGGTCGAGCCGTGTGCACGCAGGTTGGTTTGAGTCACGCCAGCGGCTACCGAGAATGCATTCACGATGACAATCATTCAGATATGCGTACAACATACATTCTTTGCGGTCGGACGAGAGAAGTTATCCACAGTTGAAGGAATAGTAAAATAAAATACAAACTTCAAGCTTTGACAAGGTTATTGCAGGATCTAATATGCACGTCAATCTTGCCCAGTAAAAATGTACTTTTTTTGAAGCATTCTTCTCAGGGCAGGAGTCATTAGCCTTAGCTACTATTGGACTATTTAGGTTAGCATCAGCTTGGTGCGTCAACTTGATATTCCATTAACTACGGCACAGTGATCGACCTCGCACTGCAAAGGACCGGGGTTTGATTCCAGCCCCGGCCTCTGCGTGCCTTCGTGACTTTTCTCTTCCTACCACATTCCAAAAACATGCATGGTACGTTAATTGATCACTAAATTGTCCTTAGGTGTGATTGTGAGTGTGAATGGTGGTTTGTCTGTGTGCCCTGCAATTGGGTGGCAACCAGTTCAGGGTGTACCCCGCCTACTGCCCGGAGACAGCTGGCATAGGCTCCAGCACGCCTACGAGCCTCGTGAGGATAAGCGGTTCAGATGGATGGATGGATGTATTGTTCGTATTGTAATGAGAAACCATAACATACATAATGCAATAAGGCTCACCATTCTATGGTTATTGTCACACTTTTCCATCACGAGTACATTTTTACTTCCAGACCAGTTAGGTGCCGTATAGCAAAATGCGACTGAAGTGGACCATTGTGAAAATAGCAAAATGCGACTGAAGTGGACCATTGTGAAAAAAATTAAAGTTGACACCGTGTCTGGTTTTGAAGCTCCACATACAATATATTGTTCTTTTTCTTTTTTTAATGATCCACAAAAAAAATGGTGCTAATGTCAAGGAAGCAGCGGATTGTCACAGAGAGAAGAAATGGGTGGTCACGGGAGACAAACTGTGAATATTTTGACAAGGTGATGGCCATGATTGTTAAGACCATTCACTGAGTGCATGCATGCATTTTGGCAACAGGTAACTTTTTATCCACAAGTACATGTAAAATTATGAACAGAGTCCAAGGGTAGTAAGAATTTGAAGGGGGAAAAAACACTTTTTGGCATATTTATTAAAACTGTGTGACCTGATAGGAGTAGGCCACAAGAGTAAAGTGACATGTGGTCACATTTTATGCCGTTCCTTTGCAAGAAACCACTACGCCCAAGGAAAAATAACCAATTAGAGACAGAAGATGTGATTGATGAGGTGTACCGAACAGCCTCGCCAAGGAAAAAAACGTAACTCACTTTGAAGCACTATTGTTCACACACATATTTTGGCCATCTATCAGCATTTTTTTTTTTAAATTGCTATTTCCAGGTTAAGATTTTGTTGTTTGTTTTTGCAGATTCCCTTTCAGAAAATGAATGGAGAGCATTTCAACACGACCGAAACTCTTGAACTGATAATGCAGCAGCGTATGGAGACGGAAACATAAGGGCACACATCTGGTTATTCCTCATACCAAGCACCATCAAAACCCTTTTACTGCTCGACAGGATTTCAAATATGTGCTGAGAGTAAAGGACATACTTTGTCGGCTCGCCGAACTCCAATAAAGGCGGACAAAACTTTGCAACAAAGCGGCTCGAGAAACTTATGTGTGTCATCTAGTTTATTAAGACTTGTGGAATGTCAATAAGAACATCTCTATACAGTAGAGGAGTGGAGGAGGCCATTGCGCAGACACAGTGACCTTCTGCTATTCTCCTTGATAATGACCCAGACAGCGGCATACTGCCCACCAACCAGACCTCTAATGAAGCCAAACACTCTCTATCATCTGCTAATAACCTCTGTGCAGCAGCAAGAGTCACAGACCGGGCGGGCGTCTTTGGAATAAAAGCTCTGGGTAGACAGGAAGTGGAAGAAAGCATCCTGTTTATTGATTTAGGACTGCGTGTACTGCCTGATGATAACTGCGTTCCTCCGCTAATAAAGATGGCCAAAAAGGGGAAGAAACATTTCACTGAATGAATCAATATTTTTTGGTTGCCACACTGCGACAAATACACAGACCAGCCTATTATGGAAACACTTATTTTCCTCATAATTGGCATAGAATGCTGTTTCTCAGCAACGCTGATTAATTGTCTTCTTAAATCTTTGTAATACCGCGACCGCCTCGTAGTTCACCGCAGAAACAGTCAGGTCCCCATTTCCCAAAACATACAAAGAAAAAAAAATTTCAGTCTTGTCATTGGCTAAGCCCGACGACGTGTCTATACAGCTGCTCTGAGAAGGCCTGAAGAGAGAACTTATCTTGCACCCTCTTCCTGCCAGCTTGTCCCATGTCCCTGCGGAGCTGCGTCTCCACGATCAGCCTCTCCATGGCCTTAGAGAAGGCCTCCGCCGTGGGCTCACACAGGAAGCCGGTCTCGCCGTCCGCCACGCTCTCCAGGGGCCCCCCGGAGTTCACGGCGATAACAGGGCAGCAGCAGTACATGGCCTCGACGGGAACGATCCCGAAATGTTCCCTGCTCGGCGTGTACAGCACCGCATGGCTGCCCCGCAGCAGTGCCACCTTGACGGAGTCCGAGGGGGAGCGTAAGAAAGTCACAAAGTCCTCCAAGTGGAGCTGCGATGCCAGCGCTTTCAGCTCGGCGTAGTGCTCCACGTTCTCGCTGACTCGGTCGTCGTAGCCGCCCGCCACCACCAGGTGAACGCCCGCTCTTCGGCCCGGAGGGAGCATGCTCCTCAGCGCCGCCAGGGCTCGCAGGGCCAGGCCTAGGTTCTTCTTTCGCTCGTATCGGTTGAGAGAGAGGAACAGGTGGGAGGTTCCCTCAGGGATCAGCCCCCACAGGCCTTGCGCTTCAGTGGGCGGCTGGTCAAATGTGCGCGTGTTCAGGGAGGGATAGAGGACATCTGTCTGGACCCCTGTGAGACTCTGAAAGGTCTCCCTGAAGACTCCCGCGGTGAACTGGCTGTTTACCAGAATCTACATGCAAGTAAAGTTGCATCAGGAGGACCAAACATTGTCGCATTTACAAGACTACAGTGGTACCTTGATTTGCGAGTGCCGCAATTGATGATATTTTTCAACTTTTCAAAATATCGCTCGGTCGATTTTTTTTTTTTTGCTTTGGTATGGCGAGCCAAAATTTTGGTCACAAACAAGCTTCAGACACACTCCCGCTCAAGGGTAATGTAAGAAAACGGAGAAATTAAGGAAGTGAAACGCCCTTTCATGTGGTCGAGCCAATATATTTACCGTAAAATCCCATTCACAATACACCAATCGGGGGTATTATACATGGTTGTTACTATGACAAGAAAGTGTCACCTTGTTTAGATGTTTACCAGTGCCATCACAGTACCTAGGCACCGCGGCAACAATAGTTCATCCAATAAATCATCAACTTCAAAATAAACCTTAGCCAACCAAATGTACGGACATCAATGCAGAGGTAAACTTTTATGTTGAAGTAGTTCTTGGCAGCGTGTCGCGGCGTAACGGCTGACTTGACTGGTTTTCCAGACCCTTGGGCATTGCCATCACAAATATGCGCTACTGACTTTAACGACACAACGGTGCCCTGAAATAACATTCCCATTCTGAATTGGGGCACTAAAACGGACTTAATTACCCTGACTGTGATTTCTACGCCGGCTGCCAGCATTCGGTCTCGCTAGCGGCTAGGAATGCTGGTGAAAGCTGTCAAATTACTTTTCAAAAGCAGTTTATTAGGCGTAAAAGACTCTGCACACTTTGGTGCTGACAGCATGACACAGTGGCTGTTCCTACTAGTCTTTTTTCAATAAACCTGGCGAACTCAAATGTGATAGTTTCGCCGGCAAAATCGTGACGTCATTTCGTGAACAAGTGGTGCATTTATGAGCTCGTATATTGCAATATGTACTGTAGCTTGGCATGCTCAGTACAACCTCTCAACAGTAATATCCAACAATAAAATGCAAAACAGTTCGCTACACCATTACATCTTATTTTGCTTCTACAGTCTGTTATATAATCAAATAACAGTTTAACACAGGTTAATCTTGTGTTGAAATAAATCCAAAGGATATTCTGCCTGTCTCAGCACAACCTCCTCTCGCTCTCTTCAAAACAGGAGAGGTGCAAGTGGAGGAGGTTGACCAAAACAGGTTGGTTGATTTTGGGTGTGGGATGTATTATACACAGGATTTTACGTTTTGTCAAGCACACAAATACAAAATGAGAACACTCACAAGGAGCTGCAGTAGGTCACAAACTAATGCCGAACGACTCACATGCAGACTAACTGGCTACCTGGACTAGGTCACACCCCATAAAGGCAGACATCAACACACACATATTGCAGAGCGTACGTATGTGTGACTTCTGGCTTGATTATATTTTTTAAAGCAAACTTTTTTCTTTTTTACCTGACCTTTTATGATGTTCAATTAGGTATTTATGCCGCCACAAGGAATAGGGACCGGGCCGGCCCACAAATAGTGAAAATCCACATATACAGTAATTGACACCCATTATGTATGCATTTGAAAACAACAACAACAACAATAATACTGTAATTAATAATAATAATAATAATGAATAAATTTACCTACACTCCCACCCCAAAGAAAATAATTTAACATTAAAAAATCTATTTCTGTATTTATTTTTGTCTGCAGAGGGTTGCATCCGCAAGTGCCCAACCACCATTATGCTGGGGGCAACTGTGCAGTGCTATTTTTCTTTCCTGAAAACAAGAAAAGAAAACGTGCATGGGGTGGAAAAGATTCATGACTTTTCAGTTAATTTTATGGGGAGAACTAATTTAATATAATTTCATATATAGCTACAGGACATATAGTTCTGAGTTTGGTCAAGGTACCACTGGAGTTAGTCAGTTAGTTAGTTAGTAAGTTAGTTAGTATAGTATAGTAAAGTAATACTAAAAATCAGCACTCCAAACTTCAGTTAAGGGCATAATGTAATTTTTTCTTCGGTTAAGATTTTACAATTTTACTTGTAGTATAGAAATATAACCTTATTTTTAGGGATTGGCGAGTATTTAAACAGTCAATATTCAGACTGGTATTGGTCTGAAAAGAAGTGGTGTCGAATATCCCTACAGTACTAATTTTAGTCATACTATACCTGCTATCTTTTTATTCACGGTCACCTCAAATAACATAAAATGAA